GGAAGGGGATGGGGATAAGAGAAGGGGGGGAGAGATAGAAGGGAAGACAGACTAGGGGAAGGGTTACTCAGAATGAATGCCATCTTGTGGTGGGGGGAGGGACGAGATGGGGTGAATATTTGGAACTCAAAATCTTGTGGAAGTAAATGTTGAAAACTAAAAATAAATAAATTTATTAATAAAAAAAGATTGAGTTGTTTCAGTTGCACTTGGCGACTTTTTTCTCACTTTCATTCTTTTTCTAGCTGTGTATTCATTTTGATCTGTACTCTAACAAGTTGGTAGTCTGAAAACATATCTGATTGAGGAATGACCATAACCTCAAAAATAATTTGTTGCCTATTTATTAAAATATCAATTTAATTTTTTGTGATGTCATTCTGTGTTGGCCCTGACTAATGACCACTGGCTCTTTTCCTGAAGTATTTATGAGGCTTAGGCTCAAGACTTCTGTGTAATGTGCAAGTCTTTGGGCTCTTTCATTCCTTATTACCGATCCATGCTTTGCAATCTATTTCTTTCCATACTCATTTAGTCTCAACTTTACATTAAAGTCATTGAATATTGCACAGTGGAAAAGACACTGACTCTGGGTTCAAATTCCACCACTCTTGCCCCCCTATGTGGCCCTGTACAAGTCACTTATCTTCTGCGGACCTCAGTTTATTCATCTATAAAATCTCAGTCTTTGACCATAGCAACCATGACATGAAGAAAAGTACAAGATGGGCCCAGACTCACATGACTCCTTTCTGCTTCTGCAGTGGACAGGGAGGTAGAAAAGGGGGCAGAGGAGGGGCAGCTAGGTGGTACAGTGGATAGAGCACTGGTCCTCAAGTCAGGAGGACCTGAGTTCAAATCCAGCTTCAGACCAAACACTTGACACTTACTAGCTGTGTGACCCTGGGCAAGTCATTTAACCCCAATTGCCTAAAAAGAAAAGAAAAGGGGGCAGAGGCTGCTAAGAATGATAAAGTTTATAGGCTATTTAAAAACTGTAATTTGGTTGTTGATACTCCAAATATGAGATCCCTGTCCAATGAACAGTGAATGAATGGAGCGAGCACTGCAGGAACCAAATCAAATCAATCTTGACATTCTTGTTATAAATGAAATTAGCAGGAAATTGCAGCTAAATGGAAGGGTGATTGTATTAAATGGCCTCTGGGGTCCCTTCCAGCTCTATATCTGTGTTCCTCTCAATAGGATCCTCCTAGGCTGATTTAATTTGGAGGGCATTATCAAATTCTTCCTAGAATTTCTCTGTTATCTTCATCCTCTGCAAGAGATGTTAATGCATAAACTGCAACTATTTTCACAATGGTTCTTTTGCAAATACTTATCACAAGAGCTGGAATATGAGATGACCAAATGTCTCATGTGATGGTGCTTTTTGTTACCTTCAGCTATATGACAAACCCAACTCTGCCAATTCCTTTACTTACCTCTCAAAGGAGAACCTGTGAACCACCTTCCCATTTGGCTGCAACTTTCTTCTGTTTTCATTTTTATAACAAGAATATCAAGATTGCTTTGATTCAGTTCTGTCAGTGTTCTGGTCACTCACTGGTCACTGGACAGGGATCTCCGTCTGTTATCGTTCAGTTGTTTCAGTCATGTCTGAATCTTCATGACCCCATTTGGGGTTTTCTTGGCAAAGATATAGATGTGGTTTGCCATTTCCTTCTCCAGCTCATTTGACAGATGAGGAACCAAGGCAAACAGGGTTAAGTGACTTGCTCAGGATCACATAGCTAGTGTCTGAGGCCAGATTTGAACTCACGAAGATGAGTCTTCCTGACTCCAGACCTGGCACTTTATCCACTGTGCCACCTAACCACCCCATATGAAGTTTATAAACTAACTAAAAAGTGTTACTTAGCATTCTCTGTCCCCTTTTCCACCACTTTGTCACCAAGGGGGAAGAGAAAGGGGGACATGTAGGACAGAAGCCATTTTGTACTTTTCTTCATGTCATGGGTTACTATGGACAAATAATTTGTCTCCAAATGACCTAGTGGTAGGGACCCTCTTTGTACTTAGCAAGGCTGATCTTCAGAAAGCAAACACAAACCTTTTCCAACATCCCAGAATCTGTCAGAGACTACTTTCCACTGACATAACTTTTAGGACCCCAGGGTAATCTCCACACCATAATAAGGCATCAGTGTAGAACTTTGTGGAGCAAATGTGAACTATTATTAAAATGATTAAAATAGTTATTTGTGTGCATTTCTTATCTCCTCTAGAAGACAATATGTATCATGAGGGCAAGTCCTCTATGCCTTATTCTCCTTCGAAACCCCAAAGCACTTAGCTTCCACATGATTGGCTCTAACAACGGAAGGACCGGGTGCATCAATGGATGCAAAAACATTATAGTTTAACTTTGAAATAAAAATTTTCATCCTCTTAGTTCTATTTTGTTTGCTTTAGGGATAAAAAAAAAATGCACCACATAAATGGGCAAAGCATGGTCCTTTGAGGTAGTCTTAAATTCTGGTCCTTCTAGTATTGAACAAATATTTGTTTAATTTTTTTAAAAAATGACTCTCAGCAGCTCTATTAGCATAATGAATCATGACCTCGCTACTCAGTCATGGTATATCAGTAAAGATATCTTTCAAGATTTTGGCAAACATCTCCCACACTAAGGACACAGGGCTAAAGAGTCAGAAGACTTGGATTTCAGTCCTATTTCTGATTAATCATTGTGGGCAATTCATTTAATCACACTGGGGTTCAGGCTTTTTCCTTCTACAAAATGAACATGTAGATAGGACTAGATGAAGGCATTAAGGTGCCTTCAACTCATTCTAAATCCTGTGATTGACCCTATTTAGCTCACCACACATTTATTCAACATCTAATAAATGTCAGCATTGTGCTAGGTACAGAGAAATTCCTCCCCTTCTCCCTCACCCCAACCTAGCAACCCACCAAACAAATAATCCAGTCCCTTAAAGAGCTTACATTCTATGAGGTAGGAGTGGGGAAGAGGAAAGAAGAAATTCGGTGAAGATACAAAATAACTTCCTAGGAGAGGGCATCAGCAACTAAGGGAATCAGGATAGGCTCTTTTTGTAGAAGGAATACTTAAGTTGAGCTCTGAAGGAAGCTGAGAGGTTCTAGAAGGCAATAGTGAAAAGGGAGATCATCCTTGACCTAGGGAAAGGCCAGTGCACAGGCAGGGACATCAAAGGTAGAATATCATGTGTGGGGGCCACAGCAGGCCAGTTTAGCTAGAATGTGGAAGGTGGAGAAGAGAACAATGCTAGAATCAAATGCTGGAAGTGGCCAGGAGCCATTGGGAAAGGGCTTTAAAAGCCACACAGAGAAACCTGTATTTGACCTCATGAAGTTCTGTAATTAGTAAAGTCTTTCAATATCTAGGCAAAAACGTCTCATACTCAATAGTGGATGGAAGTGACCAAAGCGCTGGATTTCAGTCCTGACTCTGCCGCCTCCTAGAAGGCCGCAAACTATTCAATTCCTTTGAACCTCACTATAAAATGGCAATACTAATACTTATACTACCTTATCTCACTAGGTTGCTGTGAGAAATTGTGTGAAATAATATACATGAAGCGTTTCATAACCAAAGAGGGCTAGGTAAATGTCAATTGTTATCATCTGCCTGGTCAGCAATGAATGCTACTTATTTCTTGAGAAGGCTGGATTTTTCCAGGTCCCTGTGAATGTTTTGGTTATTTAGTTATTTAATTTTTTTTTTAACAGAGCTACCTCACATGTCACTTTTTTCTATCCCCATTTCCAGGTCTGGGAGTAAAATTTAGAGGAATGGCAGTATGTAAATAGATTTAGGAGGGGCTACCAATCTTATTACTTGTGCTTGAGTGAATGTTCTCATCAAAAAAAAAATCATGAAATAACAGTCTTCGGATGAAACGAAGGCATAATTTTATTCAGATTCAAATTCTAGACAAAATAAACTGTAAGATAAATTTTTCCAAAATCTATTCACTCAAAAGGCTTTCAGGAAAGTCACCAAATGCAGCTGAGGTATCAGAAAAATCCAGACAGGGCAGCTTAGAGCAGTGATTTCTTGCCTGGTTTGGGCACACCCTGGAATTATCGTCTCTAATGATCTATCTCAAGTAATGCCAAGAAATTCTCCCAAATCACTGAAGGCCAAATGAATGTTAATTCTTTGAAACACACAACTGTCATATAGCCCTTACATAAGACCTAGGATGGACCTTGTGAAATCAAGCAATAAAAGTGAAGCAACTTGAAAAAGAAAAATCTCAGGCTTATTCCTGGTCCACCAGAGACAGTAACAATAATGGAATGTGTCACTCTCACTTTCTCACCCCAATAGAGGCAAATCCAGAAAGCCAACCAGGCAAGGGAATGAAAAGCCTGTTTAGTTTGGGCCATTACATTAGTTATGAAATGAAAGAGCTAAGAGCTGTTATCACAAGCCACTTTTTTCTAAAATTATATGTATGTGAGACAGGCACTATGACAAGGTAGAGAGAATGCTGGAGTCAGGCACTTTGCTAAGAATTTTATATTACACAGCTGAGGAAACTGGGGCAGTCAGAGGTTATGTGACTTGCCCAGGGTCGCATAGCTAGTAAGTGTCTGACACCAGATTTGAACTCTGATCCTCCTGCCTCTGGCCTCAGTACTCAACCCACTGTGACACTTAGCTGCCTATTCAGGAAGACCTGGGTTTGAGTTCCACCTCGGCCACTCATTGACTACATGTGAACATAGGCAAATCACTTAGGCAACTAATACTAAGTTACTGACTAGTTATGATCGAAAATAGGCAAAGCAAGTTCCCACACTAGTGAAATTGTTAGTCCTTGATATACTGATATTAAAATACAGGTTAAAAGTATTAAATGGTCAAAATTTGAAGGGTTTGGAGTAGAATCATATTATATTGGTTCATTTATTAATTAATATTAAATTTATAAAAATCACATAAAATGTTATTTCTTAGCAAAGTTAACAATCATAAGGCTTACTGGGTAATATATCCAGCAAATTCCATGCCGAATATTATCTTTATATTGTCCCTTGAAGATCAGTCTCCCATCCGAGTCATACTCCTGGGCAGGTCCATTCAGTTCTCCATCTGCATAGGTGCCCTTGACTACTCCTCCGTCCTCATATGTATACACTCCCTGCCCCTGCAAGGCATCATCCACATAAAATCCTTCCAGTGTGCTGAGAAAGAAAGAGAGAGAAGGGTTCAACCCTCTACAGAAATCGGCACTTCTTCAACTTAACTCCAGTCTCAACTCTTCAATAACTCTGTGTATGTGTGCTCAGTAATTATGTGTGTGTATGTGTATGTGTGCGCTTAAATTCAAAACAGGTCCCAGAATTTTCCTGGATCATCAGGGAAGATACAATTGATCACATAACTAAGATTAGAAATGGAGGGCTAGACTTAACTCTTGACCTCCTGGCTTCTGCTGTAGTCATTTCTGTTTTCCCTCTGGGGTAAAAGTCAAGAGAAGGGGAAAGGGACAGGGGAAAATGGAGACCATCTCTAAACTTTATGTGCGTCAAATTTTATACCCTTCTCTACCATTGCTGAAGTCAAGGCAGGGATCTCCTTAGCACTCCCCTACCACTCATCCTCAAGAATGATGGCTTCCGAAGTATGGTCCAGAGTCCATGGATAGCCTCTGACTATCTTTCAAACGCTGTCTATAATGCGTTACAGATGGTCTCTTGTAGTATAGATGCTCACCATAGGAAAATGCCCAGATTTCTGGTTTGGGCATAAATGAATAATTCTTGACTTGTCTGATTGTAGGAGAGATTTGTCACGGAATCCAAGAATCACTTGTCAACACAAGTGGGAGCAAGGATGGAGGGGTGTGTAGGGCGGGGGAGAGGGATGAAGGACACTGCCCTAACCCAGGTTGAATCAGAAAGGCAGAGTTTGAAAGTCATTGCTCCAGGATAGGAGAAAGATTACCAATAATTACCATACAGAATTCACAGCATTCTTCTCCCTTATCATTTTGTTAGTAATAATGGCTCACATGTGTATGATTTGCAAAGCACTTTTAAACATACTATTTCATTCACAAACACACCTAGACTCCAGAAAGTCAGAGCATAGAAGTATAAGGTCCCAAAAGAAATCTTAGTATGTACTTGTCTCTAAAAAGGCAGAAAGTCTTCCCTTTAACTCAGTTTACAAAAAAAAAATTCTCATCCCTTATACAAGCCAGTAAATCTTCAGTGACTTGGATTAATTGTAGGGAAGGCCAGTTTGAATGAACAAAAGCCATGCATTTTAGAACTTTGAAATATTCTTAGAGAATCACCTGGAGAAGATCAAAGATTTGGAGTTGGAAAGGTCCTTTAGAGGACAATTAGTCCTTCCATCCCATCCTCATCCTCATCCCCTCCCCCCTTTATTTTATCCTTCATTATTTCTGATTGGTCTCCTTTCTTCAAGTCTCCCCCGACTCCAGGCCATTCTCCACTCATCTGCCAAAGTGATCTCCCCAAAACAAAAGTCTGACCATGTCACCACCACTCAATAAACTTCAGTGGCTCCTATCATCCTCCAGAATCAATTATAAAGTTCTCCGTTTAGCTTTGAAAGTCCTTCACCAAGTGGCCCTTTCCTAGCTTTCCAGTCTTCTTACCCTTTGAGCCAGCCACTCTGGCCGACTTTTGCTTCCTTGCCTGCCACACTCCTCTCCATTCTGGGCCTTTTCACTGTCTGTCCCTCATAACTGGAATGCTCTCCCTTCTCACTTGTACCCCCGGCTCTCTTCAAGATTCACCTTCCATAAGAAGACTTTCCCAGTCCCTCCCCTCTCTTCAACTGTGATTATCTCCCATTTACCCTGACTATATCTTGTGTGTACATTGTTGTTTGCAGGCTCTCTCCCCACTAGAATCTGAGCTTCTGGAGGGCAGCGACCATGTTTTTGCCTTTTTTTTTGGTAGGGCTTAGCATAATGCTTAATAAATGCTTGCTGATTGCTCATTGAGAGTCAATAGGTTAACTGATATGAGGTTGCAAAAAAAAGAAGCCTTGTAAAGGTGTGGCATTAATGAAGAGTTAAGAATGATTTATATCAATCAGTGATTAACCTTGTGCCAGGCTAAGCAATGGAGATACAAGAAGAGACAAAAGCCAGTCCCTGCCTTTGAGGAACTTACAGTCGAATGGGGCAGACAACATGCAAACAAATATATACAAAGCAAGGTATACACGGGATAAATAGGAAATAATTGTCAAAGGGAAGGCCCTGGCATTAAGAGGGGTTAGGGAAGGATTCCTGTAGAAGGCAGAACTTCAACTGGGACTTAAAGGAAGCCAGGGAGGTCAGTAGTTGGAGTGGAGGAGGGAGAGCATTGCAGGCATGGGGGGCAGCCAGAGAGAATGCCCAGAGCCAAGGATTACAGATTTAGAGCAGGAAGGGACCTCAGAGGCCATCTGATGCAACCCCTTCATTTTACAGATGAGGAACCGGGGTCTAGAGAGATCAAGCAACTTGTTCCAGGTCACCCAGGTAAGTAAGTCATTAACCTGGCACTCTAACACATCACAAAGTCAGCCTAACCGATGCCAGGCCTCTACTTACTATTTGTATTTGTATGCTCAAGCCTGTGAAAATTCCCTTTTCAGGCTTGTTTTCACCCTCAGGCAAAGGCCTGGCTTCTTTCATAGAACTCAGCTTCTGTCTGAAGGACAATAAATCTGGATTTGTGAAGTACTCATTAGTGAAGTTTCCCTTGGGTTTCTCCACAAAAAAAAGAAAAAAAGTGAAAAAAATCTCTTGGGGAAGAGGCATCAAGAATCATCTGGTTATACAATTAGGCCCTGAGTTATGCAAATTTCATGTATTTTTCACTTTAGATTTTCAGTAACATTTAAAACTACTCTTCAAACAATCCCCAAAGCCCTTGGGGGTAACTTGGGATCATTTCTCACATTTTCACCTAACTACAGAATGTTCACTGTCTTTTCCCACCCCACTTCACCAACGACGACTTCATTCTCTTTTAACGAATGTCAAAAGAGGCATATCTTGGAGCCAGGAAGACCCAGGTTCAAATCTTGCCTCTGATGCCTACTGGCCATGTGACCTAGAATAAGTGATATACAGCAACTGTCCCTGGGCTCCAGTGTACTCACATGAAAAATGAGGGGATTGGACAACACCACCTCTGAGGTTTCTTCCAGCCCTATCTGTAATACTAGAATCTTACCAGTTGTTTGATCTGCAGCTGTGAAGAAAGTTTTCAACTAGGAGTTAGACACACACACACACACACACACACACACACACACACACACACACACACACACACACAGTCCCAAAAATCACAGTGCAGTTTTAAGCTTTGGAGACAGAATGCTGGGCCTGGAGTCAGGAAGACTTGAAAGTTCAAATCTGGCCTCAGACAGTGATCCTAGGCAAGGCACTTTAACCTCAGTTTCCACATCTATAAAATGGGGATAATAATAGCACCTGCCATCATCAACAGAAATGAGGAGATTGGAAGAAAAGGTAGGTTTAGGGGGAAGATAATAAATTTAATTTTAGTTATGTTTAGTTTGAGGTGCCAGTAAGATACTCATGTAGAAATGGGGTGATATATAAAATAAGTCTTGAGATATGAGAAATAATACCCAATAAAGTTATGATGTAATCTTTTGTTTATCCAAATATGTAAATGATGGACCAACCTTTGTTTTGCTTTATAGATATTTATGCAGTAGCAGTGTATAGATGAGTGCTACAACCTTAAAGCAAATCCTCAATCTGAGTTTGAGATCATTGGGCTAGTTGATTGAAACCCCATGAGAGTCCCAGGAATGCTAAGAGATCACAGCGCAGTCTGAATGATCTGATTTTCCAGCATCAAGAACTGAACCAATAAACAATTTCTGAGGATGACAAGATATTTCTTGGAAAACTCAAAGTGAAATTAAGCTTCATGTTATCAGGCAAATGGAGCATCAGAATTCTTTTATATCTACTGATAATACTGAGAAACAGATTTTTTTTTTATGTTGCACTTTGCGATTTTTCTTTTCTTTTATCAGAGGACATGTGATTTTGTAGAAACTGAACTTCATAAAAGAACTAAATTTTGGATACAGCATCTGGAGGCCCATGTCTGACAATCTTCACAAACCTGCTCATTCTGAAATCTTGACTTATGAAAGCTCTTCTAATAATGAGGACCATCAATTTCTTAGAATGTAACTTTTGTGAGCTGAGCCCTCTGGAAATCCAGTTAATCAATCTACCCAAGTGGAGACAACGGATTTTAACTAGTCAAACAAAAAGCTATAGCAGAATTAACCCTACCATTCCTTTAACTTATCCCAAGTTCAGCCAGCAATTTGAAATAAAAATGAAAACAAGGAGGGACTCACTGACTTCTCTCTCTACATAAAGGCTCCTGCCTGCTTTCATCAGAAGTTAAATATAAGAAAATGTATTTGCTTTGACTAGGTCCTAGCAAAGGCTGAATGCCTATTAGGGACAACATAGAAAAGATTTCTACATTATATGGAAGCTTGAGCTAGATGGTCTTGAGGATTCCTCCAACCCTGTCTCCAAACCTAGTGTTTTTGTCAATGTACCATAATGCATCACCAAAGGTAAGTGCTTAGGAGGATATTCACTCCAGGTTATTCTACCTGTGTGATACACTAGAAGGTACCCTCCTGTCTTGAAGAAGTAAGGTATTCAATTTTACTTCCAGAAAAAGCAACAACAATAATTTTGGTACTGGTGGAATGGGGAACAATTTGAGTTGGTAAAGTGTCAGATAATACTTAGAAAATGTATTAGCATTTAAAAAAATTAATATAAAAACTCAAAAATCAATGAAATTCCAGATCCCTACTTATTTTGGGGGCAAAATATCATGTTGAATCTCCAATAATACAAGAGCAAGGTTAGTCCACATCTTATCATAGACATAGAACTGGAAGAGACTTTCATATGGGGCCATTAAGTGGCTCATTTTATAGATGAGGAAACTGAGGCAAGAGAATGATGTTAAGTGACTTGCTTAGGGTCTCACAGCTAGTAAGAGTCTGAGGGAAGATTTTAGTTTCAGCAGGTCTTCTTGGCTTCCTGTCCAATGCTCTATTTTCTATACCACCTTTCAATCATCTCATTATCTTATTAGATTTGACCAAAAAGTTACCAAATTATTGTTGTTCTTAC